CTCGTACGTTGACATTTCGTGTGAGACTTCGATTAAAAATTTGGATTTTGGAGTCACACGGAAGGCGGGATGATGTGACTACCAAATGTCTTTCTCGTTCACATGTCTTCTATGCGACTCCAATGTGGGACCATAATGTTGTCTATTTGATTTCTAGCCCGGTCTCCGGGGCTTCGCCATGTCCATAATCTACGTGGGTGATTTGCCTACTGTATTGCCAATTCTTTCATTTCCCACTTTTGCGTTGAAGTCGCCCATTACGTAGATGATGTCATCTGAGTTGCATTGTTTGTAAGGTTTGTCTAGATCTTCGTAGAAATTCGTGATTGCATCTTCATCAGAGTCAGCTGTTGGTGCGTAACATTGAATAAATGAGATGTTAAAAGGCTTGCCGTGAAGCTTTACAAGAAGAACTCTGTCTGAAACCGCCCAAAAGCCTTTCAAACTCTTGGAGGTTTCTTTGGTAAGAGGTATGCCTACTCCTCTTTCGTGTTGATCCCCTCCAGAGTAGAATAAAGTAAAGTTATCTGTTGTGAATGATCCAGCACCGGTCCATCTGACTTCGGCTAGTCCTAACACATTGATCTGCAACCTTTGCATTTCTTTCTTTACGTTTTCTAATTTTCCTTTTTGGAACATAGTTCTTACATTCCAGGTTCCTATTTTGAGTGAATTCTTCGTGCGAACAATAGCCTGTTGACGATCGAGTGTCACCTGCCGTGCATGACCATCTCTACCGAGTGAGGTGTGCTCTCTGAGAACCGCCTTCACGCTGTTGTTTTGACATTTCATAACCCGAAAATTTAATAACATATTAGTTTATTTTTATGGATAGATATCCGAAAGTGTCAACTACAAACTGGAAAGTGAGCGATATTTTCGTAGATTAGACGTGCTATCGGATTTCCTTGTAGCCCTAGAATCAATAATTTTTCAGCGTGTCTCTCATTTTCTTGTATCAGCCAAATAGAAAATTCATAACTTTTGAATGAAGCAATAGGGGCCCAAAGCATTTAACTGTTTTTCCTAGGCCACTATATAGGATGTATGGGCAAGAGTTCTTTGAAATCGGAGGTTGACATCTGAAAAGGTTCCCTCGTGAGTGTATGGAATCAATATCGATCTACACCAGAATACCAAGATACACTCATTTATATGGATTATACCGTGGAGTTCAATGAAGATTTTGAAAATCAATAAAAAATACTCTTGAGGATTTCTAGAAATTTTTGGAAATTAGAGAATATGTTTTTATTGATCTTAGGTACATAATTAGGTTCAACAGATAAAATAGAGTATGTCTTCATATTTTGAAGTAGTTCGAATGGATCGAGTTTGACAGAGTTATGAATTTTAATTTTTGATACAAATATCCAAAAATGGATTATTCCACTATACAGGTTTTAACAAGGTCTTTGAATTTTATTGTTTCAAGCAGCATAGTCGAAAACGTATGTTTGCATTTATTTTTCAGATTCGAAGACTTAAGGAGTGGTCGAGACATACCGTCGTGGAATACGTGACACGTCCGAATAGAAATCTAAGGCTTTTTTTAGAGCACCATCCGGTTGTTCGAGGTCACCTCCTGGAGTTCCAAATCCACTCGTTTTTCATCACACGGGAATTAATCATGGCTATTGTCTTCTACCACGCAAAATAAACGAACAACCTATCAAATTCTAATCAAAATTTTCTGAGGAAATGAGACTCACGAGAGACACACCGAAAAATTATTGATTCTAGGGCTACGAGGAAATCCGATAGCACGTCTAATCTACGAAAAGATCGCTCACTTTCCAGTTTGTAGTTGACACTTTGTGATGTCTACCCATCAAAATAAACTAATATGTTTCTATATTAAATTTTCAGGTTATGAAATGAAAATAAGTAAAGGAACAATCTCTATGTCTCATGTAGAGTCCTGCGGGTTTAACTCGATTGTTCGGGATTTCGAAACTTTTTCTCGAGCTCGGGTCTAGGACGAGTTTGAGTTCATCCGAAGGGATCTCCGATCGGGTTTCTGTTTTAAAGCTTACATTATTTTTCTGAGAGAACGTCTGCCATTTTATTCCAGAAAAAACTAAGAAAAGCAAATCTATTACTGAGCATGCTAGACGTTTATCACAAAAATAGAAATATCAAGTCTTTTGTTAAGTCTTTTACTTTTCCACTGTCAGTAAAAACTATCAGCACTTTGATAGAGTTTCTGCTTCTTGACTGGTAATTGTCCATGCTCATCATTTTCATCTGACTGTTTTCGCTTTCCAGTACCGTTATCCATCGGTATTTGTGTATCGAAACGTTTTAATAAAGACAAATTTCTTTCGAGAAGAGGAGCATTACTTACCGGGCAAAGAGGGCATTACTTTACTGGAAAAAATTTACCGAGCTTAGGACGGGTTTTGTTCGAAAAAATCGAGACCTGGAAATTTTCTGACGGGTTCGGAACGGGTTTCAAATTTACAAGATCGGATTCGAAAATCTCAAACCCGCAGGACTCTAGTCTCATGATATACTGGCAATTAAATGTTCACGCCGCACCGTGATCTGAGACTTTAGCAATTTTTCTGTTCAATATATCTTACATTTTAGTGAAACGAATCTATTTACAAATGTTATTCATTTAAATATAACATTAAAAGATTGTACAGAATTCGTTTTACTATTTGAACGAAATCGTTTACCATATCTTGAATATTTAAATATATTATTTCAATTTAATGCTATTGAGGAGAATTCCTATAATATATATAATCGAGATATCATTTTATTAAATGAAAATGATTTTAAACGAATAGCAAAATACTTTTCATCGACATTAAAATATTTAAAATTAAAAAATATTTTATTTCAAAATATTCGACTATTACTGACACAATTGCCATTGAAATTTGTCGAAAAACTAGATCTCTATCATATTTATACCTGGTGTGATAATGATCGCGATGTATTCGATGGTATACAATGGGAGAGTTTATTGAACACAAATTTACCAAAGTTATCAAAATTGAATTTTAGTATCTACCATTATGATTATTCAATAAAAGAGGAAAGTAAAGATGTAATAATACTTTCAACAATGCAAACATTTCGAACATTGTATTGGATCGAACATAATTGGTTGGTTGATTATTCGACTGATGCGGAACGAAAATTATTTGTTATCTATATAGCGAGAAGAAATAAGCAGGAATTTAAAAATGTCAATTTATTTAGTCATAAAACATTGATAGTTAATCAACACAAGATTAAATGGTGGTGGCAATCACCTACATTGTCATTATCAAGCTTAACGGATACAGTAAAAATATTTTCGTCAAATTTAAAAGTTTTAAATATAGATTGTTCAATGTTTGAACCACCACGAACAATAGTAATAATGCAGGTAGGTGCTACATTTATAGTAGAAGTCTCCAATTGCTCATCGAATCAAAATTTTAATCTCAAAAATTTAAAAAACGGCTTAATTTTGAAAAACAAACAAAACTCGAACACATTGTGTTTGTTTTTTAACCTTGGAAGTTTTTTATTCTTGTTCTCTGTAACAGTCTGAATCTAAAAAATAGTATTTCAGTCCTGTTCAAGTATACTATGACTTGAAAAATTTTAGTTTTTCGCTAATAGCCAAAATTCCGTTCATGTTGGCGCAAAATTAAAATTAAAATTTTAAAATTTCCAGTTTTTTTAAATTTCCGACAATCAAACTTTTGATTCAAAAGGTTAACACATTGACCGCGAGTAACGCTCGTTGTTTATTTCGCTCGTCGTCATAAAAAGGGTTTTGAATCAAAATCTATTCCGATCGGGAGATAATCAAAACAAAACATATAGATAAAAAAAGATGATGTTCGCGGAAAATTTCGGCCATACCACGCAAAAGAGCTTAAAAAACTGTTTCAGATTCTTTTATCCTTGTGACCAATTCTTTCCTCCGATCAGCCATCTATTTTTAAATAATTCTCGAAGGTCACATTCTGCACTCTAAAAAGAATGCGACTTCAGCGATGTGTCTGCTGAGAAAAAGTGTCTTGTATGTGACTAGATTGCGTCTTCAAAATAATAGGTGTCTTCTATATGTCTTCAATGCGTCTACTAGTAGGCCTATAGAAGTCACATTGGAGTCGCATAGAAGACATGTGAACGAGAAAGACATTTGGTAGTCACATCATCCCGCCTTCCGTGTGACTCCAAAATCCAAATTTTTAATCGAAGTCTCACACGAAATGTCAACGTACGAG